GCAGATGAACATTTGCTTTGTGACACATCTCAGCATTACCTCAGCAACCTCGGTGCCTTTTGTCATTGTCACCTCAGTAGCTGGTCTCAGGGAGGTGAACCTGCAGGGACACGATGTGGAACTGCACGTGTGCCTTCATGGGTTTCTTTCTCCAGAAGTCTTCCTAATTTTCTATGGCTGTATATTTACACCTTAACGGTGTGGATGCATAACACTACGGTGCTATAATGTGGGCATATGAGGTATTTTGCTGCTGCTGGACATCTATCAATGCGAACGTAGAATGTCCTGATCGTGGCCCCAGCAGACTTACTGTATCAGTGCCGCTGCTCTACTTCTCTCTTCTTCTCCTTTTTTACCCATTTATATTAAAGTTTTTACGACCCCAGCACTGTCTCTCGTGTCCTGGTCGGTGCGGGAGCTGCGGGGGCGGGGGAAGACCCGAGGGATCGCTCGCTGGTGCCGGGGCGGCCCCGTCCGCCCTGAGGGAGCCAAGATGGCGGAACGCCCTCACGGTTCCACCAATCAGCGACACCCGTTGCGGACGGGGCCAAAGCCTCGTATTGGCTGTTTGACCCGTCACTCTTGGCTCCCGCGCGCTGATTGGTCAGAGCCGTGAGGGTGGGTCACGCCCACGAAGCACCGGGAGCGGCGGCAGTGTCCGGACACCGGTGAGGCTCCGGCAGAGCTCGGACGCGGCCCCGGCGCAGGTGGGACCCGCGCTCGCTTCTCCTGGGGCTGGAGTGGGCGTCGGGCTCTTCTCCCAGGCACCAGCAGTAGGACCAGAAGGCTCGGTCTCAAGCTGTGCCAGAGGAGGTTTCTGTTGCATATTAAGAGGGAATTCTTTGCAGAGTGAGTAATCAGCCGTTGGAATGGGCTGGGCAGGCAGGGGGTGGAGTCACCGTCCCTGGCGGTGTTCAAGAACAGACTTAACAGGATGTGGAATGGTCTGGGAACCACGGCGGGGTTGGATCAAGGGTTGGACTTGGTGATCTCGGGGGTCTTTTCCAACCTGGTCGATGATTCTGTGAGAGGCCGAACTTGCACAGTGGTGTAACCACCTCCCTTTCATAAACCAGTGTATCCCAGCCAGTAAACAGAATCCTCTCCTGGAAACGTTCCGTGTTTCTGGGCTCCAAACTGCCGGGGCAGGGGCTGTTCCCGGGGTTGGGAAGGGCCCGTGAGGGGACCGTGGATGGGGCTGAGGCTGCAGGAGCCGGACCCTGAGCTCCCGTTTGTTCTCCACAGGTCGCCGTGTACGGACAGGGCAGGACTTTGCTGGCATCGCCTTCCTGAGCCCGAGTGTCCCGCAGGGCAGGACTTTGCTGGCATCGCCTTCCTGAGCCCGAGTGTCCCGCAGGACCCAGCCGTGTCCTCTCATCATGGTCTCTCCCCTCTGCCAAAACAGCGGTGGGAAAACCGCCCCCAAGCCTGGGCTGAAAGAGGCTTTGCTGATTCCTCGAGTTGCAGCTTGTCACAAGCAGAGAGGTGGCACTGGTGAGTTCGGGATGTGTGCGGATGTGGAGGGTGGATTCTGCCCCGGGGACGGGGTTGTGGAGGAGCCCCTGGGTCCTCACGGCTCTTTCCTGCCCCAGGCACGACGAGGCTCCCGGCGCTTCTCGCCCTGGCTGTGGTTCTGCTCCTGGCGTTGGTGGTGGCCGTGGCTGTGCTGGCAGGTGAGGGAGAAGCAGCTCTGGGCACAGGAGTCTCTGCTCCCTGTGGAGGGGAATCCTCAGACCTTCTCCCTTTCCTCCTCCAGTGAGAAGACTCGGAGAGATTCCTGTTACACCCGGGGCTCCAGAGTTTCTGGCCTGTCCCGAGGACTGGGTCGGGTACAACAGGGTCTGTTACTACCTCTCCAGGGATGAGGGGAGCTGGGAGCAGGCTCGGGATCAGTGCCTCGAGCTCGGGGCCTCCCTGGCCGTGCTCAGCGACAGGGAAATGGTGAGTGAGGGGCTCTGGGGGGTGCGTGGGTGGCACAGGGGAGGCTGAGGGGGGTTCCTGGGCTGGGACATCTCTCAATTCCCGCTCCCCTCTCCCTCCCAGAGCTTCCTCTTCCGCCTCAACGACAACCTGGAGTACTGGCTCGGGCTGCGGAGACGGGACGAGAGGTTGCAGTGGGTGGACGGCAGCAGCTACAACTCCTCGTGAGTCCCGGGGGGATGGAGGGACAGGGGGGGCACAGACTGTCCCCCCCTGTGGTGCCAGCGCTGTCTCTGCTCCCCCTTGCAGGGTCCCCGTCCTGGGTGACTCAGAGTGTGTGTACCTGGGCCAGCGTCGCTTCAGGAGCGGGGTCTGCTCGGCTCAGCGGCCTTTCCTCTGCAACAAACCCCAGGATCGCCTGGAATAAACCATGGGAAAAGGGACCTTCTCCATCCTGAAGAGTCAACAGCTTTGCATCTTCATCCCAGCACACCTCAGCTCTTCACCTGCCTTACAGTTGTTTGTCAGCATCACCTCAGAGCTGATACCTCAGTGAAACTTGTCAGGGTCACCTCAGTGCCTGGTGTGAAGGAGATGAACCTGCAGGGAGGGGAGAGGATGTGGAAGCCTGGACTGGGGGCTCTGGGTTTCTTTCTGCTTCTAGAACCGTCCCAGAACTCATCCTGCTCCTCCAACAGTCCCTGGTTGTATCCTAACCCTGTTTCCATGTAAATGTGTGACTCTGCCCAGAGTGAAGCAGGAGATCCACGTTGGATGCACATGGGTGGTGCCCGACTGGTGCTGCTGCTCTTCTGTTCTTTCACCTCGTTCACTTTTGCAATAAAACCTCGTGAAATCCACCCCTGTCCCTTCCCCCCGGGATTCCATCCCAAATGTGGGAGCCTTGGAGCTCCCGGGGCTGCTTCCCAGTGCTCCCAGTCTGCCCAGTCACCCTGGAGGGCTTCGGGGATGGGGATGGCACACAAGTGCTGCTGGGGGTGGTCCCACCTCAATTCTGTCTGGTTTGTTCTTCCCGAGCTGGGCAAAACTTGGATTTTTGGAGTTTTCTGCCCCTCCTCCGCTCGGGCAAAAGGGATTTGGGGCCTTTTTTTCCTCTTTTGGGAGGGAAATCGGGTGCGTTTGTGCTCCGCGGCCGGCAGGGGATGCGCGCGAGCCGGGAATTCCCGAGGACATTCCCGCGGTTCTTTTTCCCTCCTCCGTCCTGTCCCGGCCCCGAGCGGCCCCCGCGGGACCCCAAAACCATCTGTGGGGGCAACCCCAGGAACCAGGAACGGCCCCAGAAACCAGGAACGGCCCCAGAAACCAGAAACGGCCCCAGAAACCAGGAACGGCCCCAGAAACCAGGAATGGCCCCAGAAACCAGGAACGGCCCCAGAAACCAGGAACGGCCCCTTGTTGGGCGCTTGGAGCTGCATGAGGGGGATAAAAGGATCCCCCCCGGTGCCCCCAGAACGGGGCCGTGTCCTGATCAATGGGGCTGAGGGGGACGAGGGGTGTCAGAAAAGTGGGAAAAAAACCCTAAATGAACAGGGGATGTGTCAGCTCCTCCTGCCCTGCCTGGTTCTGACCCTCCCCTGGCTGCAGCTTTTTTGCCACCCACCCCATCCCTGAGAGATGGTTTTTGGGGAAGCAACACCAAATACCACCTGTCACATTTCAACCTCACCCCCTAAAAACCTCGATTCAAGCCTTTCTGAGTTAATTTAATAAATTAATTTGATTAATTTAATAAATTTCCACCCGTTTTCCCCCCTGTTTGACCCAACCCTGCATCTCCAGGTGAGCCCCCTAAAAAACCTCAATCAGAGGCTTTTTGAGTTGATTTAATAAATTAATTAATTTAATAAATTTCTGCCTGTTTCACCACCATTTGGCCCAACCCTGCACCTCCAGGTGAGCCCCCTCCTCCTCCTGGCTGGGGACAG